CATTTTCCTTTGTTTTCTTTCCTTCTTTTTTTCTTTCTTTCTTATCGATGTCGCCTCTGCATTTTCCTTCATTTACTTTCTTTCTCTCTTTTTCCTTCATCCATTTTCCCTCTGCCTTTTCCGTCTTTCTTTTCAAGTGAACGTCTTTCCGTCTTTTTACTTTTATCTTTTACACTATTTTATTTCGCGATTTATATCTCTCTATATTTTTCTTTTCTTATTCCTTTTTCTTTCTTTCTTTGACCTTCATTCCTTTATTCTTCCTTCCTTTCTTTCTTTCTTTATTTATTTTTGTTTAATCCATTTTAATTCTTTTTTCAATTTTTCATTTATTCTTTTCATGTTAATTTTTTTTTATTTTTAAATTTACTTAGATTGGGTTTTTTTCTTGGTCTTCGCCATTATTCTTACGTATTCATCTTTGTCTGACTTAATTTCAAATATAAACTTGCTTTCACAAAAAGAAAATAAAATCTTACTCAAATATTACACCTTTTTCCCTTCTGTCATTTTTTTTTTCGTTTCGCTATTACCAATTGCTATTTTTAAGCACCATTATAATACGGAATGAAAAGGAAAACCTTCAATTTCTGTAACGAAACGCCTCTCTCTCTCTCTCTCTCTCTCTCTCTCTCTCTCTCTGAAAAAGTCTTTAATGATGCTTAAAGAGCAGCGTCAAAGAAGTTATATGGCGTCTTTTAAAATAATTGATGGTAGAGAAAGATAAAAAAAATGGCTGTTGCTGAATTCAAAACGAGTTTAGTAATGTGAAGCAAAGAGACAAATTACACAGGTTACCGTCTGTACGCTTCGACATTGACAATAGACAATCATTCTTTACGTACCTGCGTAAACTTAGGACAAGATAAATGATTAATCTAAGCGGCTGGTGAATATATTTATTTCGACATGTTGTCTGTAAGATAGAATTATAAAAAAGAAGAAATATCGTCTGTTAAAAGTCTTGTGAGTGACTGAGACTTTGTGTAATTTAAAGACATCACAGGATTTAAAATAATACAAATCGAATAAATGGAAGAATTACATTAGTGATATTGCACAGAAATGGTCGATTGGCGATGTTTTGATTCATATCAACCGAATATCGGTGAATTCTTAACAGCTGCAATCTCTAAAGTGGGTAACTGGAAAATATAAAAGCCATTATTTAGGCTGCAGTACGATTCTAATGATTACTTATTCCTTCGAGTTCAGATATTTACAGCTAGCTTCATCTACCGCAAGGAAAGTTGGTTCTCTGTGTCAAGAGGTTTTTCTAGTCTGAGTCCATCCTTCAAATCAACAAGCCTACCATTTTATTAAATACTGTTGCCATATATGGTCTGGTGCACTCGCTGTTCATATCTAGGTCCCAGACAAAATCCAGAGACGGATATGCAATGTGATAGGTCCTGATCTTGAATCTGGTCTACAATCATTTTCTCACGGACGTACTGTTGCTTCCCTTTGTCTTTTCTACAAATATTTTCATGGCTAGTTCCCTAACGAGGTAATTTCAGTGGTACCCCAGCTGCATGAACTTGCTACTAGGTTGGCATTTCGGTCCAAACCCTTCAGTGTCTGAACGGTTAAATATACCCGCCTCTTCTACTCCAACATCTTCACCTGCATTTCCCGACAGTGAAACACCTTGAGAGCTATAATCTTCAAATATTCAAATATAATATCAATCGACACCTTTCTGATAGCTTGATCTTGATCCCCGTTCTTCTCTATAGACTTTCCTCACTCTATGTAACCTCTTGCGTGCTAGAGGCACTATCATCTTGCTTGGGGTGAAATGCTTAATATATATATATATATATATATATATATATATATATATATATATATATATATAAAAGAAATATGTTGTAGTGGTTCCAACGAGAGAAAAGTATGTATATTAAAAAAGAAGAGGGGTGCCGCAAACGTTTTTGGTTGTAATGTGGATTTATTGAGAAAAAATATTATACTTTTGTTTTACATAATTTCACGACACGTGTTTCTGGACCCCTCTTCTTTTTAATATATATATATATATATATAAAAATTAAAAAGAAAGAACAGAATACACATTTTTAAAATATATATATATATATATATATATATATATATATATATATATATAAGGAAAAACAGCCAGATTCATAATCCACAGTTCTTTAGGACACTTATACTTGGAATCAGAAAGACTGAGCTTTTGGAGAAGTTGACACTCACAGGACACATTGAAGGAAAAAGGGAGTGTCGTAAGCAGGGCAAGACATATTTGATGAGGCTATGCTAATAGATAACAGAAAAGGGAATTAGGATGGGGTTGTAAAAAGACAAGCATTACTTAGAGCTGCAAAGGAGAGGAGGTTGTGGAGAGTCATATTCGCTATCTTCCTTAAGTGATAGGATACATAGAAGTAGAAATACCGAAATACTAGAGTAAATTATTGACAAGAAAATAGCTGCGAAATGTTGTATAACAGCACTGAAAAGTTCTCAGTTTGATTAATGTTGAAACTTGATTAATGCATGGAATAATAATACAACACAAAATGTACTTAGAACAAAATGTATTGAAACAAGAAAGTGTACACAATATTTACATATAGTCTTTTGTATATTCTTGGGAAGACCGTTCCTGGAGAATGTGTTGACTTAGTCGCAGTCGGGCAGAGTCTCTGGATTGAATCTTTTGATTCCTCCCCCAATCTTCCCGGTACCAACCATATTTATATGGTCGGTACTCCACTATGCAAATTAGGTGGATCCTACCACAACAATTAACAAGATCTCTCGAAAAAATTGTATTATGTCATTTGATTTAAGAAAGTAAATAAGCCTCCTCGAATATACTGATTGTTTTTTTACGACTTATCAACCTGTTTTTAGGTTGTATTTTTCGCGGGTAGGGGTTGTGAGTGATTATCGTATTAAATTATCTTTGGAGATAATAATGATTTTCAAATATAAATCCTACTATCTAACCCATTAAATTTCAGTTGAAGGAAGAAGTGGATTCATGCCTTTCCCAAAGGTATTTGTGCAGAAGTGAATCTAAGGAACTCGACTGGAATTCGAACTCGGCTCTCCAAGTTCTCATTCCAAACCATTACCATTTACACCACTCGCACAGCCAAGCTTACAAAACTTGGTATTCTTAAACGGTCACCAATCTAGGTAGTGACTAGTATCACCGTTGCTTAATTTCGTTGATCGGGTCAGAACCGATGTTTTAACGCTATATAGCAGCCAGCTTCCTCGCATACATTATTGATTGTTCCTTTCATGAAGTTTCTTTTCATTTCTCTCAAGTTTTCTTAACTCCACCATCTGCTCCACCAAACCCTACTTTAATCCTTTCCTTGTCTCTCGATTTTTTATAATTCTGCCTCGCTTTGAAAGTCGACGAGCCGACAACAAATTCCGGTTTAATTTTAATTTCAATCATGACCTTGAGGAATCTATGCGTCCATCTTTTCTCCGCTTAGCTATGCATTAAATAAGCTGAGTAGCTTGTACTCTAGCCTTGACTGGCAGCCAGTATACGGTTTGTACGTTCTGGAGCAACCGTTTGGACGGTCTCGTTCTAACACAGCCGTTTGAGCGCCAAACCTATTTTGAAGTAAGCCCATTTCGTATTCTGTTACTTTGTGGAACAGACACAGTAATTCAAGTCTAGGGTCAGTTTTTATCCATCCTACATATCCCCATGTTCTGAACTTCTCAACCACATCCACATCAAGTAAGCCTCTACCTCGAATGGCTCTTCCATTTTTTTATTAAGGGGACAAATACATAAAATATCATTATTACTGAGTTGCGAGTTCTTTTCTCACTGGGTACCCCATATATGTGACAATGTGTTAAACTAATTTTAGATTACGAAGATTGAGGAAGGGTGAATTATTTACACTATTGTCTTCATCGCCATATTTATTACAACGTCTCGGCCGTTGTACACTCTGGCCTTTTTCAGGTAGTTGGAATGCATAAATGAACATGTGGTAGACTGTTCTCGTTCCACGTTTAATGGATGTCAGTTATCAGCTATCTGTTAATTTCCCTCTAAAAGTTCTCCACTGCCTTAACCGGGTATTGAACTCACACTCTTTGGTTCCTGTCACTGGATCTAACTAACGCCTTTATCCACTGTGCCATGTGACCTTGAGGTGTATGAATTTCTGGGTATTATAAACCTAATGTCTTCAGCAACCATTTTTACCAGTGCTCATATTACAATTTTTTGCTGTTATCATTGCAATATGAGCACTTAAGACGTTGGTTAAGGTCTACTCAGCATAGTTGTAGTATGGATAAAAACTGACCCTAGACTTGAATTACTGTGCCACAGGTGCGCTCCGTGGGTGTTGAATAAACACAAATGCGCCTCAGCAAGCGTCTGCAATAGGGATGGACTAGCCGCCCTAGTAGACGGGTATCCTCGAATACGAGTAGCCAGCTATACACATATACAATGGATATCAATCTTTATTCTTTTTATCGTCTCTTGTGAATGATATTTTCAGATGTTTTTTTATTAGACCCAACACCATCTGATCTTCGTTTAATTACTAAATTAACGGGAGATTTTCTTCAACGTTTTTGTTATTTTCACAATGCAGTATCTTAGGAAGGCAGGAGAGCACATCGGTCGGAATGTGATAAAATTAACTAATGACGTCATAAACGTTTGGAATGAAGTGATGTAAATAGGGGTTGATTTTCTAACTTCATTGAAATTTTTTTAGAGTTTTTTTTCTTTTTTTCCCTTTTTTCTTTCTTTCTTATCTTTTCCCCTAACCTTTTATGTCTGTTTCTTTCTTTTCTTGATAATTTCTTTCTTTGTTCATTAGTTTTAAATTGAAGTGTGATTTTTGTAAAAATATTTCGATAATTGTCAAACGTGATCGATGGCGGACTGAGTATTGTTATGATTTTCAATTTCAAAATGATTTCATAAAATCCACACAGAAGGAAATTCGATTGTTTGTTTGCTTCTCAACTTAGAAGAAAAGAGAAGAAGGGGGATAAAGAAAAAAAGAAAAGTATTGGAAAACAGCCAGAAAGTAAGAGGGGGCGAGAACAGGAAAAGAAAGACCGAAAGGAGGCGGAGGAGGTGGCAGGATAAGGGATAGAGAAAGGAAGAGAAGATGAAAAAGGGGAAAGAATTGGAGGTGGTATTCAGAAAAGGAACAGGAGAAAGAGAAAGTATCCGAGGCGACTGAAAAGAAGAAAACTCTATAAGGTTGAAAAGAGAGAAAGAAGTATAAGACAATGGACGGAATAGGCGGCAAGAAACGAAGGGACAAAGAAAGAAAAGGAAAGAGTGACAAGAAGATGTAGATTGAAAAGAAGACTCGATAAAGAGAGAAAAGAAGAATACGAAGAGGGGAAGAAAATTTCCACAAGAATGAAAGAGAAGACGCAGTAGTAGGAGGTAAGGAAGAAACAGGTTCAAAGTTGAAGGAAGAGTGAGGAGAATGGTAGGTGTGGAAGACACATTAAAGAGAGAAAAGAGAGGGAGGCTGTGGTATGGGATGAGAAAAAGAATGATAAGAAGGGAGGGGGAAAGACCGGTAGGTTTTGGGAGAAATATTAAAGAGAGAAGAAAGTGGGAGTTGGAGATGAAGAAAACAAAGGTTGAGGAAGTTTAAGAAGGGGTGGAGAAGGTATAGGGGAAATATTAAAGAGAAGGAGACAGGAGTAGGAGGTGAGGAGGAGAATGGTTGAGAGTTGAAGGAAGAGGAATTGTAGTTGTGGAAAAATATTAAAGAGAGGAAGAAGGAGGAGACGGGTGTAGGAGGTGAAGAAAAGAAAGGTTGAGGAAGGGTAAGAAATGCGAGGATAAGACTGCTAGGCATGGGGGGAAATATTAAAGAGAAAGAGGAGAATGAGGCGGGAGTAGAAGGTGAAGGAAGAAAGGTTGAGATTAGAAGAAAAAATGTGGAAAGGGAAGGGTGGTATGAGTGGGGAAAATATTGAGTGAAAGAAAGTGAAGGAAGCGGGAGTAAGAGGTGAGGGAGAGATATATAGAGAGCTGAAGGAAGGGAGGGGAGACGAATGTTAGGTGTGGGAGAAATATTAAATAAGAAGAAGGAGAAGGAGACGGGTGTATGAGTTGAGGTTGAAGTATAAGAAGGGGAGGTGAAGACTGATAGGTATGGGGGAAATATTAAAGAGAAGAAGAAGGAGATGGAGGCGGGAGTAGGGGGTGAAGAAAAAAGGTTAAGAGATGAAGGAAAAGAAGGGGGAAAGAATGGTAGGTGTGCGAGAAATATTAAATAAAGGAATAAAGTAGGAGGAGGAAAGGTTAAAAGTTGAAGGAGAAGACTGGAAAGTGAGGGAGAAATATTAAAAGCATGAAAAGGAAAAGGTGACGGGAGTAGGAGGTGAGAAAAGGAAAGGCTGAGAGTTGAAGGAAAAGAAGGGTAGTAGTGGGAGAAATATTAATAAGAGGGAAAAGTAGGATAAAGGTAGAATTGTGGAGGCGATTAAAGAATGGTGGGTAATTGAAAGAAAATAGAAGATTGAAACGCTGGAAGACATTAAAATATTAGAAGGAATGATGAGATGAAGCTGAAGATGAAGAAAGGTTTCAGGAAGAGGAGTTTCAGATGATGGAGAAATGGTGGTAATAGAATGAAAGAAGAAAATTAAATTATAGAGTAGCTGCAGAAAACCTCGAATTTCTAGAAGGTGAAGCTGAAAACTTACATCGAATGTTTATCATATAAGTAGATCCTATAAGTATTTTACGAATATCAGGTAGTTTATAGTAATGTTACTATCAAAAAATAACCTTGCATAAGAGAATGTTATATATATATATATATATATATATATATATATATATATATATATATATATATATATATATATATATATATATATATATATATATATATAGTATATAGTGATACATCGAGAAAAATACAGAAAAGAACTGGACTGCTGTTTTCGTCCTATTTTGGGACTCATCAATAGTGTGCACCCACTACCGAGATTCGAACGCGAACCGTTTCGATACAAGCGTCATACCAACTGTACCAACGGTCCTCGGCGGGGAGAGGAAACTGAATAAACTCTATATAGCGCCGCTACTCACATATTTGTGGTGATACTCATCTAAGTATTCATAACCAAACGGATTGTGCCCCAAGTTCCACGGCTATCCTTTCGTCCGAAACGCTACATCGCAGAGCATTAGCTGGGTCAAGCAAGGATATACAAGTAATAACATTTGAGGGATTTAGAAAAATCATTATAATAATTCATCATCGAGTCTAGAAGAATCCTCAACAGAATGCAGAAAGCTCTGAACAGCCGTTTTTGTTTTTTTGTTTTTTTTGTTTTTTTTTGGTGGGGTCTTTTTGTTTTTTGGAACTCATCAACAGAGCGCATCCACTACCTAGATTCGACGAACCCGAACCGTTTCGATACAACGCAAGAGTCATACCAACTGTACCAACGGTCCTCGGTGACGAATAAGAAACTGATTAGACTCGACATAGCACCGCTTTTCACAAATTCCGTGGTGATACTCATCCACGACTCTCCTTTCGCCCGAACCGCTCCATCGCAGAGCATTAGCTTGGTCAAGCAAGGATATACAAGTAATAGAATTTGAGGGATTTAGAAAAATCATTATATTGCTAAAATCCCCCAAATTTATTACTGATATATATATATACATACATATATATATATATATATATATATATATATATATATATATATATATATATATATATATATATATATATATATATATGCATGTTTCATTAAAAACGACAGACAACAAACTGAGCTTTTTTATTTAATTTTTCTTGTGTTCTGACAAGAGCTTTCTTTTCTGGACAAAGAGTGTGTAAGAACTGTCCGAATGTTCTGTGTTTCCGAGCGCTTTCGGCTATACCTTTAGCTATTATCAAGGATGATTCAATTATCAGCTTAGTAGAGTGTGTGTGTTCTGTATGTTCAGTGTGTGGTAGTGATGTTTTTAGTTTCCGAATACGGTTAGCACATTGTGGCTTTTGTTCATAGTTGATATTGTTAAGAGTTGGCTTTTTTTTTTTTTATTATTAGAGCTTCCATTATTTTTAGTCTTTTTTTTGCAAGTGGATGCAGTTAATATATTTGTGTTTTCTACTAGTATGTTCCTAATAGTGTCGGGTAAATCTGAGTGTGTGTTTAAATGTGTTCTGATGGAGCTGTGATCAGATAGGTGTAATGTAAGACGTCTGGATAAACATGTGGTTGTGTAGTCGATTTAATTATTTATGAGTCCGGTTTGGTGAGGAAACGCAGTTCCTTAAAGGCATTTGAACTCATAGATAATGTTCGTTCTTTTGTAATTTTGACTTAGTTGGTGTGTTGTTATTTTGAGGATAAGGTTGGCCGTCTTAAATTTTTTATAATAGATAATAAGTTTGATTTTTTATTCGGATCAATAGGAGTAGTATATTTCTTTTTAATATGTCTTAGAGAAGATTCATCTTGTTTGTAATTAATATGCATTTGGTTTTTTTGTAATAAATGTATGTGATTTTTAGTTGTGTGTTCGCTATCGTTATTACTTGCTTTGGGAGGAATAGTCTAATTTGTTGGTCTATAAGGTAGTTAGCCGTTGTTAATTAGTGTTTGTATAACGTTGTTAAGTTCTTTGAGAAAGAGTAGTCGGGAGGAAAGCTCTTGTCAGAACACAAGAAAAATTAAATAAAAAGCTCAACCGTAGTACCTTGTCTGTCGTTTTTAATGAAACATGCATAAAGGAAGGATTGCTGCCTAAATATATATATATATATATATATATATATATATATATATATATATATATATATTAGAGTGTGCAGCTTATAATCTATAATCTTATAATGTATAATAAAGAAATAATTTATACAGAGAATTAATGAGCAATGTTAATGTGATTAATTGCGAAATTACTTCGCTAACAAGACTTAATGAGACATTAACTTAGTATCAATTACTTGAATAATAAGAATCTATGTATGGGAAAATTGCGCCCTGAAGATGATAATTTGAAAATGTCTAAACTACTTGACATGGTGGATATTAATTGTTATTATAGAAGATGTTCCTCTATAGGTGATTTTTATCCTTACATCATCATCAGCTCCCTCCCTCTTAACGTCGTGTGGTTGTAGAGCCGCTGTGTAGTCAGTTATGTACCATGCCCCCAGCTATGGGTAAATAGCAGGACAGACCGGGTTCTTTAGCCTTGGATGGTAACTGGGCTTCCGCAGAAAGAAATGGCAACCTACTGCGGGAAAAAAGTCTGACTCATCAGATACATGACCGCCTTATCGTGTATCACGCGTGGCACATAACTGAATGGTGATAAATTTGTGAAGATTTGTTCAAGTAAATCTGGTATTACGCAAATACAAAAGTAATTAATTCGTTATGGCTGAATAAATACGATGATAATGGGCCGTGTGTGCTGTGCCACTGTGAGTATGAAATAAGTGGGGATCATGGTATATTTAACGTTTAAAATTTAGGTGACAAGGACGTGACAGAGTTATGAAATTGGTTGACGCTGTGGCGTGGGACTTTTTGGTAAGTATTGTGTCATTTTCGGACCTTTAGTTTTTCTGTGAATTGTATGTAAATCTCGTATCGTCTCAAGTGAAGAGGTAAGGAATTTTATACCCCCCAGGGTTATTTGTTTGCAATGGTGATACATGCTGACCTGGGTTGGGGAATATATATATATAAGAAAAGTCAAAGTTGACCGTTGGAGTGACTTATATCCAGACTGGCATCTGAGGTGTTGACCTTGGGTCATGGAAGCTAGTGACCAAAAATGGACAAAGGATTGTCCGATATTCTGTTTTGTTTAAAAGATATGTTTTTGGAGCATGAAAAACTGGTCAGAATTTTGTTGTTTTTGTTAATTCTTTTTTTTTTCTGTCGGAGGGCTCATGGGACCGACGTCCAATGAAGAACAAATAAACGGAGAGTAATATAGTTGAAATAAAATTCATAAATGATTTTGTTAATGATTAGATAAGGAATGTTAAATAATAGTCTAGCAGACTATTATTTTTTAGGCAATTGTATTTTTGCTTTGACTTCCATATTTTGACCTTTGAGGTCAGATACAGGGAAAAAAGGAAGTTGTTTTTGATTGGCTAAAACTAGCGTGGGAATGTTAGAGCTAGAAAGAGATTTCAGTGAATTAAGTTTTACACGTCGAACGATGTAGACGTGTTTTATCTGAAAACTGCTTGATCCCCACTGGTGTGGGATAACAAACCCACTGGCTAGTTAGCTGTATCCGTCGGCGGGGTGAATAAAAACTAGATAGGTTTAAAATTCCTTTGTTGATGATCTCTTCTTTTTCTCCGAACAAATCAGCTGACGATCAGCGGCCGAGAAAGAAGAAAATAATGTCAGTGAAACAGGACTGTTGCCTCAAGACCAACCATCAGCAATGCAACAAAACAAGCCTCTATAGTAAAAAAAAAAAAAGTTAAAAAAATAGAACGACAGAAGCCAAAAAGAGAACAAATAAACAAAATATCAACAAATGAAAAGAATAGGAAACAGAAACAGAGAAGAAAATACAGGCACTTATATAGGTAATAATCGAAAGTGCTCAATGTCTATAGCAAATAAACCAAAACAGAGCAGTAATACTAACCAACGAAACACAAAGAAACTGCTCCAAATCCCTACTCTTAATTTCTCACAAAGTGATCGTCATGTGATGAGAATGTTCCATAGAGGTTCTTATCGCGTTGCCATATATATATATATATATATATAGGTAAAAATCCGTAGGTAAATAATCCAAGTGAATCCTAATAATATAAAATATTAAAACTGATGCACAAAGAGAGGTCAATGCATTAAAGACACGATATAAATAAATTACATACAAATAAAACTAAAAAAATAACCTATTTTTACACCCTCATGATGTGTTCACCCCAGTTTGGGGGTTAACTATTCGACCATAGCTGCAACCCTAACAGGTGCTACCACCCCGGGTCAGGGGTGAACCAAGCAACACCAGCAATTAAGAGGTGGTTCCACCCTCTTCAAAACCTCCTGATCAGAAAACCGCGAAATTGTAAACCTGTTATGAAAAACTTAAGAATATCGTCTGCAACAGTGTATGCAGAATGGAGGCCATTATTTGTTGGATTTCATTTTTAAAACAGAATCAATAGAGACTAATGCTCTTTCTTAAAAAGACAGTGTAATATATCTTTAACAGCAGATATCTTGGCCTTATTGTCAAAATTTAAAATGTCGGAGCTACTTCTACTGTACCCTGTATGTATATATATATATATATATATATATATATATATATATATATATATAATTTCAAACTTTACAAAGCTCAAGCTCTACCCGAGGTGGAAGATTACAAAGTAAGAAGCGCAGTTTATGGTCATAGATGGGGAAGATAACGGTTAATCCTCGAACCGATTAAGATTGCAGTGATAGGGAAGTGTTTTCTTGGGAGCTGGTTGCACAAAGCAGCAGTTTGTAGGAAGAAACTAATCTTATATCTCACCAATAGCATAGGAAGGGAATGAAGCTGGTTCGCTACAATGTACGTGGCATGGCGTGCCTTAGCCATGAAGTTTAGAATTAGTGCAATTTAGTTATTATATACTTCGGATCACTTTACATATATACACATGTTTGGTTTAGTTTTGTTTGTTTTACGGTATATCAACCGGTTATTTAATGCGGACAAGATTCTTATTGTTGGTAATATTTTTTTTATTCAAAAAGGTTTCTTCTGGCAATTTTCTTTCTTCAAAAATGTATTATTGGTAATAATTTTTTTAGAAAGTATTTTTGGTATTAAAATCAATTTTACACTTTCATAGTGTTTTGATCCCAGTTTTGGGGTTAACTATTTGACCATAGCTGGGGCCCTAACAGGTGCTACCACCCCGGGTCAGGGTGGACCCAGGAACACCAGCAATTAAGTTCCACGCTCCTCAAAACCTCCTGATCAGAGGCCTTGCTGTTGGATGTTGTTTTTTTTTTTGCCTTACCCTGGGCGCGGATGTAGTTTATCTTCATGCCCAGGATGATGTATACACATGTAGATATCCACTGTTCAAATATACTGTGAATAAAAATGATTATATTACTGTTCTGAAAAAACATATTATATTGTAAGATTAATTTTTTTTTCTTGTAGAGAATTTCATATCTCCATGTGAAATATGTTTCCTTAATTCTTATATGATCGAATTTTATAAGATTCTTGTTTGCTTATTTCCATTAAACACTCATCAATATTTATCCATTACAAATAATAGATTAAAAGAAATATATTAAAATCACTACAAACCTTTTTTTCAAGATATTTTATCGGCCCTATTTTGAGGATTTCGAATGGAATATTTTTACCAATATGTACAGCTTAACAAATCGCTTAATACAATTTATTTCTTCTTCCCAAGAGAATCAACCGAATCTCTATCGATATAGCAACACTTAACAGTGAATCGATAAATTCATTCTTTTACAATAAATAAATAAATTAATTATTGACCAAATAGCTTCAACAGGAAAAGTATAAATCCGTTATCTTATGAATTATTGATTAATAGTCGAACTACTAGCGTCTTTAATAAAGATCTTTGACGACGAGTTCCTCATTGTTAAAGTGTTGGTTAAAACAAGTACACTATTTACATTATTCGGACTACTGTTGTCTTTATCGCCATATTTATTACAACGTTTCGGCTGTTGTACTCTCCGGCCTTCTTCAGTTGATTAGTTAGATCCAGAACAGGATCCAAAGAGTCTGAGTTCAAATATCCGATTAAGGCAGTGGAGAACTTTCATAGGGAAATTAACAGGAGATAACTGATAACTGACATCGATTAGACATGGCACGTGGAACTAGAGCAGTCTACCCCAGTGAGCGAAATAAAGGGTTTAGTTTGACAAACTGAAGAAGGCCGGAGCGTTCGAACTGAACAAGGCCATGAGTATGGGACATCAAATTAGTAGCAAAACCACAAGATACATGACTTACAAGACTGGTTTGATAAACATTACGTTATGATGAGATGCAATATATATATATATATATATATATATATATATATATATATATATATATATATATAAAAGAAAAGAGGTTGTAGTGGTTCTAATGAGAGAAAAGTATGTATATTAAAAAGAAGAGAAGAGAGGTGCCGCAAACGTTTTTGGTTGTAATGTGGATTTATTTAGAAAAAAATATTATGCTTTGTTTTACATAATTTTACTTTTTCCTTATGCTTTTCAATGTTAAATATTCTCGATATGAGACATTTTCTGTCTTTTCGGACATTCGGATTACTGACACAAAAATTATTTGTCAATAAATAGCTTTTCTACATACATACATACATACATACATACATACATACATACATACATACATACATAAGTAAGCAAGCCTACAGCCTTATCACGTTGAAATAGCCATTCCCGTGCATTCACCGAAGTTTAGCAGCGTCGTGTATGGCCAGTACCTTATTGGGTGACCGCTTGGGAATACCAGACACTGTAAGGTTAGATGTGTGTGTGGTGTCATGGATAATAGCTCACAGTTGTTAATCAGAGAACCGAGTTTCAATTCCAGTTGAGTTCGTTATATTCACTTACGCGAAAATACACTTGAGAAAGGTATGAATCCACCTCTTCTCTCCCCCACTATGGGTTAATTAGTAAGACTTATATCACTAAATCATTACTATGTTAAAAAATCAAAACTATTTTCTGGCTTAAAGTATCTTGCAATGGTTTGAAAATCAATGAATGAATAAATCTATATATATATATTAGATATTTCGTCAAAACATGTAAAAAGACGAAAAACAAATGCGATCATTTAAATTTTTTTGCTAACGCCTGATGAAATGTGTTTACTCACATCGAAACCTGACTGCATTCTGTGTAGCGTTTTTTTTCATATGTTTTTGATGAAATACCGTAAATGAAAAATATAGCTCTACTACTATACTGAGCCGTCTTTTAAAATGAATGTTACGAACGTCGAAACTGGATTCGATTCGTTTTCATTTCATATATATATATATATATATATTAAAATATATATTAATATATATATATTTATAT